ACAGTTAGTAGTAGTAGTAATAGTGATAAATCATACTTTATACAGACACATGGAAACATACTCATTATATGTTATATGGCACATTACTTATTATTTATTACAGTTATGTGGCCAGTGAAATAGCTAAGCACGTTTTTATAATGTGTGTTTGGACTACTGGTCATGGCTTCACCTATATCATGCTTACAATGGCTAAGCACTTACTGAATTAGAAAATTGCAACAAATATCAAACTATTAATGTATTGAACAGCCTTTGAACCATTGATGTGGTCCTACTAAGTGAGGGTATGGGATATCCTCTGTCATAGACACTGTAGCAGCTGGTATGCCTCATTCCAATGCTTCTCTTCTCCGTAATATTCCACCTTTTCGTTCAATTAATAACATGAATTATAACTGTATATTGACAGCATTGTACTTAGACTTGATATTGCCCAGTGCATTTTACATGTAGGCTTTTAAATGAAGAAACCGGTCAGGCCACAACACTATACCCCTGTGCATAGCACTCCTTTCTTTTTAAGTTTTAATTTGTGAAAACACTGAACAACCAAAATAAAACTATAAGATGAATAGAGCATAATGTATTGCCATTTTTTTTAAATTTTGTTTTCAATAACTGCATATATTTAAACCCATAGGTTTTCAAGTTCAGCAGCTACAATCTGCATTTGCCAGCTCTCAAAAATTCTATCAGATGTCTGAAGATTTCCAGGCTTGGATGGAGACTCAGAAAAAAATGCAAAATGAGGCCACACCTATTTCAGCCAAGCTTGAGGTTTTGGAATCATTAATCACAGAGACAAAACAAGCACAGAATGCATTGAATGCCCAACATAGTGCCTATGAAAAGATTATAACAGAGGGTGATAACCTTTTACAAAAAACAGAAGGAGAAGAAAAGGCAAAACTTCAGTCTCACCTCTCTTTGCTTAAGCCTAGTTGGGAAGACATTAATAAGAAAGTATCAGAAAGGGAGAACAATTTAATAGATTGTCAACAAAAAGCCATTAAATACAGAGACACGGTGGATAACATACAGCCTTGGATCAAGGAATATCAAAATAAAGTATTTTCAGTTAAAGTTTCCACAGACTTAGCAGAGATAGAAAACTCAATTGGAGATGTAAAAGCTCTACAAAAGAGTGTTGACAAGCAGCGTGGAATGGTGGAAATGTTAAACAGTGCAGCAAATAGTTTACTAAGCTCCTGTGAGACAGATACAGACATAATTACAGAAGAGTGTGCCATGTTGAATGACAAGGTGGAATCGCTTATTGATAGTTTACATAATAAAAGAGACTCACTTGAAAACATGGCACTGCGGCTCAAAGACTTCCAAGAATCTGTTAAAGAAGCTGAAAAGCAACTGACTGTGGCTCAGGAGCATATAGAAGTACATGAAACTCTTGGGACACAAGCATGTAGTAACAAACATCTAACAATAATGCAAACCCAACAAAAAGTCCTTCAAAGTCTACAGCCACAGATCCAGCGCTCTGTAAAATTGGCCCAAGAGATTGTGGTAGATGCCCTAGATTCAGAAGGTGTGTCAGATGTTCTCCTCCAAGCTGAATCCCTTCAGCAAAAACATAACACTATTAGCCAACAAGTCGATGAAAAATGTTCCTTCTTAGAAGCCAAGTTACAAGGAATTGGACATTTCCAAAATAGTATTCGAGAGATGTTTTCTCAGTTTGCAGAGTTGGATGATGAGCTTGACAGTATGTCACCAATTGGAAGGGATATGGATACACTACAAGCCCAGAAAAGCAACATTAGCAGATTCCTGCAGAAACTTGAAGATCTTATAACAACTAATGACAATGCTAACAAGACCTGCAAGATGATGTTGACCTCTGAAACCTCACCTGATCTTGTTGGTATTAAAAGGGACCTTGAAGCCTTGAGAAAACAGTGCAGCAAGTTACTGGACAGAGCAAAATTTAGAGAAGAAAACATTGATGGGACTGTTACCAGAATGAACGACTTTTACAAAACATTAAAAGAATTTGTTGACGAGCTTGGAAAAGTAGAAGACCATGAAGAATCGCAAGGTCCTGTTGGAATGGAAACTGATGTCATCAATCACCAATTATCCATTTTTACGGTAAGGCAGTAAAAGCTGGTTTCACATGATATCAGATCTGTGTCATATGATACTCATGGTAAGTTACAACATTTTGTAACATAACAGGATAGGATCAAATGATCATTTGGTTTGATTCTGCTGTGCTGGAGACAAATATCTTGAAAAATAACACAGGGAACTAAAATGAAGGTGTTAAAGTAGCATTAAAGTCTCCTTTTTTTACATATGTCTACTGCTAGCAATAAAAATAAATAAATTGTCAAATAGACAATTACCTATGTCTGCGTCACTCGCTCCCGGCTGGAATACACAGTTCCCTACCGGCCGCGTTGGAGGATGATGGGGCTGGCGCATGCGCAGTCCATACCACCAGCGGGGAAGAAGAGAGACTCAGTAAAAGTGAATGCATGCAGCCAGGAGCATGCACGGTGGACAGACTCCATGGGACAGGGAAAGAAAGCAGTCTGCGCTGGATCAGAGACCGGCACCAGCGCTGGAGGGACTGCTGGAAACACGTTGAAGGAAGCAGATGATTGGATCGAGAAGCTTCATTTAAGTCCTTACAGCTCAATTACAATGGGGAAAAAACCCTCTAACTGTAATGTCACTTTAAAGTTAAGTTGAATTTAAAGTGACACTTAATTCAAGAGTCAACGCTTAAAAATCCATCCAAGTGCCCTTTTTTTAAAAACAAAAATGTATCTTTGTGTATCACTCAGCTGTAGATCCTCTTTGAATTGGTGCTGGCACTGTCCTTCCTTCTGGAGGGTGGCTACTTTTGTTCTCCATGGTCCCTTTGTGTGCTGTAAAGTACCCACTGCTCCAATCTCACTTCCATGATGGACTACAATCTCAATACAAATTAGATAACTAAACGTGAGATTGTAGTCCATTACAGGAGTGAGCTTGGAGCGGTGGCTACTTTACAACACACACAGGGACCATGAGGAACATAAAAAGCCACCCTCCAGAAGGAAGGACAGTGTCGGCATGAATTTAGAGGTGAGTTGAGGATCTACAGCCGAGTGATATACAAGTAAGATACATTTTTGTTAATAGTTAAGGTGCTTAAATGCATTTTTAAGATTTAACTCCTGAATTTAGTGTCACTTTAAGGTTTAAGCGACAATCTTTGTTTTTGCTTTTGATGGCAAGGTAAAGAGTTTTGAAATAATTTTATATATGCAATATTTTTTATACAGATTATACCATCTGATGAGCTTCATGTTTTCTAAGCCTAACGTGGTTTTGGTGTTGGATAAAGCAGTTTATTTTTTGCTGTCTGTATCCCTTTGGGAAATTTACCTTTACTTTAGCCAGATATACAACAGGAAAAGAGAGGAAATCTATACAAAATGAAGTGTCCCCATTTAAAGATTTAACTTAATTTATGATCAGGTGACAACTGTTCAATTTTGGATTCCCCTATTACTTTCCGACTTTGTGACTATGGGTCCTGGGACTAATAGAGAGGTGAATCACCCATCAGGGACACAGACACCAATACAGTCTTGACAAGGCTTGTGATTCTTCCCTGTACACATACTTAAGTTCATATACGTTCTGCACAGCAATTGGCTAGTTTTTATGCCAGACATGAGGTCACTGCTGGTAAAACACTCAGCTGTATGTAAAATATCTGATTCAAGAAACAGCGAGGGGAATTTATCAAAACTGGAGTAGACAAAATGTGCATGGCAACCAATCAGCTTCTCTCTTTCATTTTCAAGTCTTAACTCAACAAATTGAAGAGAGAAGCAGATTGATTGCCATGCACAGCTGATCCAGATTTTGTCTGTTCCAGTATTGATAAATCCCCCTCCATAAGATTTAGCAGCACACATTGCGGTCATCATGCTTCCCCTAGTGAACTGGGAGAATTTTTTAAAGGAAACCTGCCATAAGAAATATGTAGCCTGCTATTGCTGAAATTTTATTTCTGAAAATTGTAGTTGCTTGGCTGTCACCTAGATACTCTGGGGGTAATTTACTAAAATTATAGCAGACAGAATCTGGATCCTCAGCTCGTTCAGTTAAGCTTTAAAAATGAAAGCTAGTAGCCTATTGGCTGCCATGCACAGCTATTCCAGATCATGTTGGCTCCAGTCTTGGTAAATTTCCTCATTGGCTTTAATGATTTCTCAGTCACTGACCCGCACCAAGAATAGAGAAAAGGCATTTTGAGGCCTCTCCTACTTTTGTTTGCTGCCTTCTTGTTCTGAGTCTAACACAGGCAGACAACTAGCACTTAAAATGCTAGCAATGACAGCCCACATATTTCTTCCATGACAGGTGAGCTTAAAGTATGGTTGAGTTTCCAGTGTTGGCAGCTTTGTTTACATTCAGCTACATAACATATGGATTACAAGTCATATTTCATATATAAAGGCTCTTGTTTTGCTAAGATAAAGTTCTGGAAAATTGTGAATACATAAAGGAATCTGTTAACAAAAAACACAATTTATATTCAGTATACAGAAAAACAGTGTGGTGTTGCTATACCAATCAGAAATCAGCTTTTAGCAGCTGATGTGAGTAGACTAATAAAATCTACTTTAGGACTGGTTGCTGCTCAACACAACTTTGACCTAGTATATTGTATCGGATAAGCTAACGTTTTCCTTTTTTATTAGTAAATCATGTTTCTAGAAAGAATTGAAATCTTAGAAAATTCATTTTTTGTGTGTAGGTGAGGCCCCTGGAGCCTCTTGTGCAGATACCTCTAGTATTTGTGGAAACGCTGATTAAATAAGTACATTATACCCATGTTCTACTGATAAACTGTTATCTCATCTGTTAGCTATGTGGTAGTATAATAATGTTTGCATAAGAACCTCCAGTGTTTCTTGGTATTACCCTTATAGAGTGTTAGTAGCATTCAATTAGGAGAAACATTTTATTACAGTCTACAGTTCTGTGATGCCATGTTAGCATGTAGCTTAGTATTAAAATGATTCTGCCGCTAATTCCACAAATCTCTCTAATAATTAGACTGTTGTGCTTATTTCCCAGAAGTGCTGTATTTAATGATAGTTTTACTGAATTCAACTTAAGTTTCTCAAAATGAGGCATCATGTCCAAAGTACATGGATGTGCATGAGATCACAGTGCATTTGCGGTTCAGACTTAGCAGGAGAGGTATAGTAAAAATAAGGCTTCTGGTATTTTAGTGATGAATCAGCATGACTCCTGGATTAGTTTCAAAAGCTGGGGGATTGCAAATATTTATAGCAGCGTTTCACAGCAAGATGTGATAGCAAGTATTATTCGCAGAGTAGAGATCAGCTACATGAAGGTTATTCATTGTCAAGAGAAAAATATATTTCTTGTACATGTTATATGTACATTGTCAGTGGGGATCCCACCACCCTGTAATCTCTCCTTTAGTGTAAACAAACTCTTTATATCTAAATACTTGTAGGACAGCCAAATCAAAAACATGTAACGGACCAAGTACAGGCTGAAGAAAGCAGATTTGTCTACTTAGTCCAAGAGTCCTAGACACAATTTAACTAGTTCATAAATGCATTGGCTAATAGGATACATATAACCATTCAGTTATAATATAATTAATTATATAAGGGTTTTGTTTGGTTGGATGTATACCAACCAGAACTTAAAGCTTTTGTGGGTAACTCCATACTCCAAGCAACTTGCTATCCGTTATCACCTAAAATATAATTGCTGGTAATCTTGCTTGGTATGTATGCAATAACAAGGGAGCATGATTTTAAAAAACGCATGTAGACATCCCTATATGTCTAATTATCGTTAATTTGTTCATGACTTTGCATTCATGTTTCGTGTGGCAACAGTTGAGGTAGGGCATGTGTACAAGCATCAGACAGGATTATAGCCCTTTAAGCAATGCAGAAACAAGGCGTGGATACTTAAAATTAATAATACGAAAAGTCAAAGACATTATACTCACATAATGCAAAGCCACAAAACAAGCTTCAAAAGGCTGTAAGACATACTGAACTGATGAACACAAGGGTCCTTAATAAAGGAAGTCTGGAATGGCAGACCTCAAATTTCTCTCAATACAGGTTTTAGTTAAAACAGAGCTAAATTGTGCACACGCCCCAGAACATTTACCATAATGTCTAGGTATATGTAGGCGCAATATGCTTGCATATTATGGAAGACTTCCCCCATAGTGTGCCTTCCTTGAGCAATGCGGCATCCACTGTCACCCTCGTGACTCTGTCTGTTGTTTCTTTGCCCGCCATTCAGCTGCCACTGAAGATGTACTTACATTGTCCCAGCATCCTGCTCCAACATCTAAGGCTGGGCACACACCTTACAAGCATCGCAAGACTTTTGTCTTGCGATGGTTGTAAGGTACTTAAAAAAAACCGTACGATCTGCCTATCTTGCATAGGCAGATCGTACTTGCGATGATCGCAAGCCACGCCCCCTGAGGGGCGGGCTTCCGATGACCGCAATGCCGAACGGGCACAGCAGTCACATCTGTACGGACACACTTGGGATTCCCGCTGCAAGAATCTGTAGGTTCTTTCTGCAGGACTTTCCAGTCACCTGTGTGCAGGAGGCCTAAATCCTTATAATAATGTGGCGAACATGTATTTAAACATTTCTTGTGGAGTTCTCTCATAAGAAGAACAGCAACAAAAGCTGCTCTTACATTACAATATTTTGCTACTGTCTAATTTTTTGTGTATTAATTACAGGACAGATGGCTTTCAATGTCACCAATTGCAGTATTTAAACAAATACAGTGTGCAAGTGATCATATGAAAAGTTTTTTCCATTACCGCCTAAACAAAAAGATCCTGGCTACCATTCTGCTGGCATAAAAATCATTAGGGGGAATTTATCAAAACTGGAGCAGACAGAATCTGAAGCAGGAACCCATAGTAACCAATCAGCTTCTCTCTTTCAGTTTGTTGAGAGAAGCTTTGAAAATGAAAGATAGTAACTGATTGGTTGCCATGGGCAACTGCTCCAGATTTGGTCTGCTCCAGTTTTGATAAATTTCCCTCATTGTGTTATAT